TGTACAACATTGAATGATGTAACAGTGTTGACTTTTGCGAGAGTGAAATTCCGAAGATGAATGATAGGCTGAATCGTTTCCTGATTTTTTGAGATGATTTGGAGGTTGTATACCGATTTACTAAACACCTTTCATAAAGTACTAGAGTGGCCACTTTTGTGAACGAAACAAATGATTAACGATCATACAGTCTGTCCATTAAACCAATCATTACCCAGGACAAAACAGCATTATAGACTATAACACCAGAGTGGCTTCAAAACAAGATTTACTATAGGGTTGTAGAGATGGTGGAGTTTTCATTGAGATAATGATCCGATCTATATTAGACCACCGCTGAAGACATGGAAGCACTGGACGGCCGTTTCGTCCTAGTACGGTACTTTTCAGAAGTGAAAATCCACGATCCCATCATTTAGGACCAAACGTAGAAACCCTGATCTCGTTAGAACGTTTAAACTCTAGACCACTGAGTCAGGATCTAGCGGTGTTAATGTCTAACTTCAACCAATCCACAATACTGCGCGACCATCATCGATTGTTTTCGGTGGGTAACCGCCTCACATTTGACACAGCTGAAAACTGCTAGTCACGGCTTCTCATTGTAATTCCGAGAATCACCTCTCAAAGCCAGTCACTAGTGAACACATCCTAATTATTATAGGGTTGTAGAGGGTTGTAGAGTTTGTTTAGTTTCTATTGAGACCATGAACCATTTTATACAAAGAAATCAAACAAGAAGTTGATCATACTCAAAATAGTGGTTATTTTTTATCTGCAGTTTCAGAAATGAATCATCAGCAAGTGAAGATGAAGTTGGTGTTTATTTCAGTGGTTTTTAATTAGCTTTATTCAACACCATTTTATCAATTCACTCAACTGATATCAATAAAACTTCGCATACTAAAATTCACGGGAAGCAATGAATCAGAGCCAATGAAATGACTTTTCATCATTACTGCATTCATATATTACTGAAGTAAACATGTTCAAAAGCAACCGGATGATACAATTATCAATAAGATGTTTGATAATTTTATAATTTATCAGGAGCGGTCTGTAAAGAGGGTCTAAGATCAGTTCCTGGTTTTGTCTATGAAATGTTTACAAACCCCAAAAATCACTCTATGCTAATAATGATTATATGCTCACTGCTGACTAGCTTCAAGGTATATTCCATGGAGTCCTTATGAGAAGCAATGATCAGTTATGTCCGCCAGTGGCGGGTATGAGACAGATATCTACAGAGAAAAGTTGATGGGAATAGCTCAGTATCGTGAATTGGTTGGATTCAAACATCAACACCACTGGTTGGCAGTGTAAAGGTTAAGCGTCACTCGCGAGATCAAAAGTCCTGGATTCGATTCCTTGATGCAAGTTTATGGATCAGCACTGTTGAGAAGTTCCATACTATGACGAAACGGCCGTCCAGTGCTTCTAGATTTCCAGTGATGGTTTAATTAAGATCAGTTTATGATTTAATCTATGAAAGCTTATCAGATGTATCTTTGGTTAAAAGGGAGATTTTAATTATGCAGATGTCATCAATTTTTTAGTGACATGCATCCCCAACAAATTTTTGTATATTTTAGTTAAACTATGTTAGGTTATTGTATAATACATCGTTCAAAGCATGTCGATTAAACCACATATTAGCAAGCAAACAACTATCACTCGTAAGCAGTTGTGTAGTAGAATCATTTCACAAACTTCATTTATTTATAAACTACGGATTTTACAGATTATCTAAATTATTTTATTTTATTTGTAATTACTTATTTCGTTCACATGTTTGTGTTTTGATTGGACACGAACGAACATGATTTATTTTCTTGTTTATTAATTTAACTAATTATGTGCTAGTTTAATCAACTCAACTTGATGTAAAATGGATGAGGAGTGTACTACTCAACTATACTTACTTTTGACAGAACATGATGAATGTGTAATATAAATTGTGCATTCAATGCGTATGTACTTCATGATGAATCACATATTTATCCTTCATTCTGTTTAGCAAAGATACTTGAATAATATGAAAATACTAGAAATCATCAAGGTGTATGACTTATTTCAAACTATTCGATTATTTGGTACTTCATTAATTAGTCAATTAATTGTAAAACGTTTCTATGTGTACGTAGTAAAACTTGACTTGATTTCTGCTACTTTAATTGTTATGAGTAATAGAAGTGACTGTATAGAGTACTTGTAATATTCTATGCCGATAAGTTGTCAGTGTGAACAAAGTGAAACACTGGTACTCTATGACTTTTAAAGTTCAAACTTCTTTCATTAAGGAAATTAACTTAATGTTAGCGAGTTCATCAAAGAAAATAGAAAGATGAAAATGATGTTAATATTTATATAATATCTATAGTATATGAAACAGAGACAATATTCATATTTGTGTTTTACAAATTGAATTGAATATTTTTTTAGTCGAAGTCTCTATATTAATTTGTAAATTTACACTTGGTTTCATCTAAACTCAATGGTTTTTGTTTTTTAATATCTCAGGCACCTATCTCAGTAAATGTTTCTCAATAAAATGAGAATATTCTCTATTGAAACATGATCTCTCTGTCTCACAGATATTGAAAATTATTTCCTTCCTGTTGTGTTGATTATCAAATATCGGTTGAAAGCAACGCAATTTAAGTAAAATAATTCAAGTGGAAGAGTGCATTGATAGGATTGTGTGCAAATCAGGTATAAAATTATTCAGTAAAATAGTAAAGTACATTTTGTGCAACAGCGAAAAGATATTCAAGACAAATAGTGTTGGGAAACGGAGTTTCATGGACGGATAAATTTATAAGCTTCATTTTCTCTAGGTACAAGTGTTTTTTTAAGCTTGTCATTACATTTAGATCAAATTTAACTTTACTTTGGCCAAATGAATGATAAATCAACTGAAATAAACGATAGAGAAATTCGACAAGTTTTGAAACTGATTCGCGTTTTTCTTAGTGAGTTAGTTTTCTACGGGATGAGTTCGCTAACCCCATGCCCAACCCTCCCCCTTCGTCCGGGCTTGGACCGGCAGTAGCCCCAGAGGGGCCCCAGGCGGAGTAAAGTTTTGAAACTAAACTTAAATAAAGACACTGTTGTTTTTTTGTCGTGAACGAGAACAGAGATGGTGACAACCGATTTGTTTTATTATAAAATTACAGTATCTTGGTAAAATATAAGGACCATACACTAAATACTTCATTTGCAAATTTCCATAATTTGTTGTTCACATTCTGTATGACTCTTCAAGTTTACAATTCTTTTGTATTTTCCCTTCTACTCTCTTGAACTCGATCTTCTTAACCTTTTGCTGCCAGATTTTCCACTATCGATTGAAGTTACATATTACTTATGTCTGCCTACATAAATGGCATCCACCACACTCGTACCCTCTTAAAAGGCCTTCTCTTGAGATTGTTCTGCTCGGTGTGCCACTTTCTTCTTTTCTGAAGCCTTTGCCACGCTCCGCCGGACCAACAAAATCCAATTTCCCCCCAACACCTGTAACATTTGGCACCTGGGCCCCAGAGACTTTCTGAGCCATCTACATCCGATGTTCCCATGCAGTCGCATATCCTGCTGCTGCTATCCGTCGACAGCAAGTGCTACAGCCAACACCGCCATGTTAGAACATTCCACTCAACGTACCGTTCTCGCACTAGACTGCTCTAACTAGCGCCTTCTCTTTTAGCGCAGCAACAATGTCTGAAGAACTTCACTTTCCCCGGCTCCTTTTTGGCAGCGACACCAAATGTTGTGAACGAGAACTCAGGTGAAAACAGATAATGTGATTTATTACAAAACTATAGAGTATCTTGGTAAAATATAAGAACCATACACTGAACTTTTTACATTGTTCACTTTCTATTGTTCATAAGTACTATTTTTAGATTGAATGAATTTGCCATAAAACATCATGTTAGAAATTAAATAAATAAATAATTTGAACAATATACATTTACACATTAATTTGTTAGCCGTCGAAATTACTGAATATCTTCAAATCTGACTACCGACGTTACAGTATATTATTAAGTACTTACAGGCTTGTTACATTAAAATTATTGGCAGATTAAATTTTGATAATACATTTAAATGAAGTAAGTGGTAAAATTTTCTGAAAAATGTTTTCAGGATGCTTGCAGTTTAATTAAATGAAACTGATATTCTAGTATTTCAAACTAATGATCCTCATAACAATGACATCTCAAGACAGATACTAGTTAGTGAATATAATGAATAACCATAGATGGTACTATAGTTAGAAAAATAATCTATTTTCTTTGGTGGACACGCTATGGCAACTTAGTATATTGTTAAAACAATCGTAGAGCTATTCATTGTTTGTTGAGCACACCTAAATCTTATGAGATACAGTAACAGCGCGAGCTTTTTAGCAAATCTAATTTTCCACATGACTTCTGACCTTTTATGATCAGTAAATTTTTGTATGCTTGAAGGTTATGCTTTTGTCACCATATATACAGAGATGTACCATATCACGTCAATCTGCTTTTAATCTTAGTACTTCATAAATTGCGTACTCTTCATGTGTTAACTGTTAAAGCATAAGATCGCAGCTATTGTTATCGTGACTGCTATAGAACTGTTCGTGTTAGAATGTCCTGATCATTCTTGAACTCGGAAAAGTTGTGGACCAACTGTAAACCACTACACCGTGGCGGCTTTTTAAAAAGATTTATCATACATATTCGTATCCGAATTAACATTCCTGTAGTTTATGATTATGGTTTAAGGAAAAAAACGTTTATATTCAAACTAAAAATTTATTGTTAAAGAACATAAATACACCAAAATTATGCAATACATAGTGAACTATTTCAAAAAAGCAATAAATTAATGGTGTGAATGTATATGCAAGAAGTTAGGGTGTTTAATAATGAATACATTTCAATTAAAATGACCAAAATATATATAAATTTGAAGCAATTACATAAATCAGTGAAGATTATGGACTTAGTCATTCAGAGAATGTATTTACTGATTCCCATGCAAACAAACAGAACAACAATAACATGACGATGAATAGATAATTTTGTCATTCCATTACATTTATCTGTTGAGCAACAACCGACTGTATTCTCATGATCCAATTGATCACATGTAGGTCCACAAAATTTACTAGTAACTCCAGAACCATGAGTTGTCTGAAGATGTAAATCAAAATTAAATATTCAATCGAAATAAATGATCAAATTAAAATTTGACATAGGTATATGAAACGTTGTACACAGTTATCAATAATAAATGATTGTGTAATTAATTTATTCAATAAGAATAATTTAGTGAAAAATAGAAGAATTTAATTCATTCAATTTAGATGATAGAAAAGACAATGAATTATATGTTATTTGTTTTTTTTCTTTATAATCATTATTTTTAAAATAACTGCTGATTTCTGGTTAGCGTTTTTTTAGCGAGTTAGTTTTCTACGGAATGGGATCACTGACTTCATGCCGAAACCTCCTCTTTTATCCGGGCTTGAGATCAGCAGTAACCTCAGAGAGGTTCCAGGCGGGTTTTACTATAAATAAATTACTTTGTCAAAAAAAATTACTAGTCATTCGTGCAATATCTAAAATGTACAATTTTTTGTATGAAGTCCCATACTAGGACGAACAGTCCGTCGAGTGCTTCCAGGTTTACCATGGTGGTCTAACTTCAATTGACTCATGAATTCAACTATTAAATTACTAGAATATCCATGAAACTCTTCTCTGAAAATAAGTAAATATTTGTACATTTTTGAAAACATTTACAGAAAGAAAATAGATCAGTATTTTATTGGCATTGCTCTAACAATTCACTCCAGTTAGAAATATATTCATTTGCACGTTTATAATTTCTACTTATTTAGTTGGAACATTGTACATTTATAACCTATAAATATACCATAAATAGACATGATCAGATTTATTAGCAGAAATGGATGACGACTAGTTTATAATGCTTATAATATTTGCAACTTTAACCAATATCGAGGCAATCAGCATAGGATACAAATATGTCAGTATGAGACTAATCAGTTTCAGTTCTAAACATCAATAAGAAGACTCAACCAATATAAAAATGAAATGATCAGATTTAGTTTTCTTTATTAAACAAGAAATATACTACTGATGTTCATTAATAATATGACAGCAGATAAATTTTGATAAATCTGATTTTAAATTAACATAACCCAAAATGAATTGAGTTGTAAATCATTACTTGAACTTACTACACACCCTCCATAACCCTCTATAATCATATAGATAGTAATATTATCGCATTCAAGACAAGTATGACAACTTACTGAATTATCTGTAAAATCAAATTAAAGAAATGTCATCATTTTAGAATCTTTACAATAGATATAATGCCATAAGCATCCGAAAAAACCCTGAGAATATAAAAACATAATTTTGACGGGATTTTGTTCTCTGAACTCTATGGTTTTGGTCGTGGAGCTCTCGTCGTCATTCTGAACGACAACATCAACACAAACTTCAGTTAGAAAATACTACCCAGAAATAGTCAATGTTATTGTTTCAAAGTAAACATACAAAAAAATATATTTCGAACAATACAAATTTAAAATAAGAAACAAATCGCTACTTATTACCCGCCAATATTTTAGTTTAAACGTTGAATTTCAGGTACGTTTTGAAAGTATAAATTACTGTTAGAAATGATAAATATCAAATCTTTTTATGTGTACATTTGAATTGTCACCACTTGTTTTCCGTTTTTATTTCAAAATGTGCTAATTTTGCTGTGATTTCGGTATTAGTAGTCTGTGGTGGTTTTTTCTGTGGTTTATTATACCTTTTTTACTTCAGTATAAACTATCGACATCAACTATTATTTGTTTTCTAAATACAAGAATACATATAATGCAAACATTTGTGAATGGGAAATAATTGGGATCACTTACTTAGAGGATTTGTTTGGTTTTCTAAATTAAGTAAAAATGGAAAAGGAAGAAATTTTTTTATTAAAATTACAGTGTACTAGTCAAACAAATAACAATATATATATAAATGTTCTTTGAAATAAACTAAACCATATTAAAACAATTAGTCCCTTTTATAGAATTTCGATAGGACAATGAGAAGACGGAGTTGATCTGAAAGAATGTGATGTATTTGCTTCATACATTTCGAACAATCTGGTCACACATATACTTGTCAGGGCAATTTAAATGAAAATTAATAAAGGTCAATTAAATGAAAGTTCAAGTAAAAAGTAACAAAGGGGAGAGAAACAATTTTACATCGTATAAAAAGAATAAGAAATTGTTCGCATTATCCTAGGCCACAGAATGACTTAAGGATTACCAGGGTAAATTCAAGGTTACGACAATTTGTTTTTATACACATCAGGAGGGTTTAAATTTACAAATAGCCAAGGCTTCAATAAACTTGAGAGTTCATTTTTGACAATTTCTGTACAACGTTTTAAAAGCTGTATTAATGTCAATTTTGTGCCCCATTTCAATTATATGCTTCGCTATCGATGAACATCGTTTTCTACCTCCCACGTTGATCGGATCATTTGACACTAATTGGTTTTGAAGCCGTATTATCTGGCATTTAATTTTATTAGAATATTTGAGGTGCTTTGCCAAATATTGAATTATTTTATTTGTAAATTTCTAAACTATAAACTTTATGACTCCGTATCGGAGGTTAAATGTTGAGTTTTTCTTTAGAATCAAGAAAACTGTATCACATCAAACACTGGAAACGTGTTTTGAAAGAAAAAATTATTTGATCCTGTCACTGAAGGTAGAAATGTGGAAATACTTATTTTTAAACTCATAGGGAATCGCTGAAGTAAATAAACAATAAGTTTTTATAAGCAAAGATGGATATTGGCTCTCAATGGAATCCAGGACGCGCGTTTCGTCCTATTTGGGGGTCGTCAGCTAGATGTACCTGCATTTGAGTTGATGTTCACTCTAGGACTCAAACCCAGTACCGTTCGCTTCAAACTCTGTCACGTTATCTACTTAGCTTTGAAAGGTACAATTAAACAACACCAGGTAAATATTAATGAGTTTTTCTTTACGTTTTCCTCTCCACATTGATCCACACTACGAATATTGGTTATCATAGTCAGTCATTAAAGTGTATTATCCATATCTTTAAGTTTAATCAGTATTTAGCATGGCATAAGATCATAAATGGATATCATGTTTGACTTTTCTATTTAAAACTATAGGTAATTGAATAAGTTCATTCGTACAGATTTTTAAAACTGAAATACAAATCTATACATTTTAACAGTTGATCTGTTCAATAATCAGTCATTTAAACAAATAATGAACAGAATAAAATCGTCAATTAGTGGATACTTACATGCAATAATTTGCTAGGTATAGTAAATACGGGATCAATAGAAACGAATCATTTCACGAAGATGAAATTTATGTTGACAATATTTATTATTTTCTACTTACTTAGATGATCGCCAATTATTCGATTATTACACAGATCCGATTGGCATACATTCAGATTCTCCTTTGGAAAGTTTGTGGGAATCGCATTATTATGCAAACATATTCTGTGTACTGAATAATTTTCACCGGCAACCTATGATTCATTTACAAAGATATACTTATTAAAGTGATGTAAACTATCCTACAGATAATTTAATGGGCCTAATGTAACTAAAATAAATACGTCAGCCTGTACACATTTTGAACTCACAGTACCGTATAGTATTTTAATTTGATCATTTAATAAGGAAGTTGATAAGCAATGACAATGTATTCAAAATATAATCATAGAAATGAAATTAGCTTTGACCATAGGATATCCCTAACACATAAGCAAAGGTCGTAGGTCGTTATCACATTCAGTTCAACTATAATCTGAATATAAATACAATTAATACGTATTTGATGATTAGGTGTAATATTCTAACACTTTCAAACATTTGAGCAAGATTCGTATGTAAATCCAGATTTCAGTGAAACTATTCCTACAATAAGAAATGAGGAGAAATACCGAATATGAATAATAACATGTAGACGATATAGAATTTGAGTTTTTTGGAAACTATGAATTTTAAAGAACATCTGAAAAGTGTAATTTTTTAGTTTTGATGACATACTGATTCCTTCTGAAATTCTTAAAAGAACTTATCAATCTCATACTTAAGAGGTTTATCGCTAACATATTAATACCACAACCTTTTCACTAATTTGTATAACCTAAGAGTGAGTATATTGCATAGACTTATAGGGGACTTTAGAGATGCGGTTATTGAAAATGTTTTAGATACTTTATAACCCTGTTCAACATAAAGGACAAACGGCTTTAAATATCAAACTAAATGTCGAGTCTAACTTGCTTATTGTGTGTATTAAATTAGTAATCTAAATGGTAAATCATGAAAATAAATATGCAAATATAATTATGCAGATATATTTATTTCGAAATTTAACTCACTGCACATGAAGTACAGTTCTCATTTGATATTGACTTATTCGTTGCTATGGGGCAGTAATCACACACATGACATTTAATTGTTTGAATTTGATCTGTACAAAACAAAGTAAGTAGAGATATGTAGTATGTAGAATATTTTTACTTTAAAATCAGTAAAATACTCATCAGTTCAATAGGTAATATGATTGTCTTAATCATCACTGGGATCAGACAGGATAAAATCCACCACGACATTTTCAGAAAATATTCATCCTCAACTCAACACAATCAATCAGTCAATCAATTCACATTTCATCATATTCGAAAATGTATTGAATGCTGAGATTGATTTTTCTGATTCACAAATTTCGTAAGAGGAAAACAATGTATTTTGATGTTAAAGAATAGAACTAAATAAGCTGGCGGATGGGTGATGAAAGAATTCATTCATTGAATAATTTAAAATAAAACAGTCTAGGCAAGCTATTCGAAGTTGATTAGTATGCAAGTGAGATCCATGATTATTGTTTATTCATTTGATCATGTCATAGGAGAATCTTATGATTATATGAATATCTGATGTGTTGTTGTTTGATGAGAATCAAACAATTGTGACGAAGTACTTCAATGAATAAGTGGGCAGTGAAAGTAGTTTTCTATATACTATCACAATTGATCATTCAGCATCCCTATGAATTTTAGATAGATCTTGATAGATTTTTGAGTATCAATAACTGTCTATCTGTATTGGGCAATTGCTACTCGTTTTAACTTGACTTTGAATGTTTTATGCTTATTTTCAGAGTAAACAAATACTGTTCTTAATTATTCATAATAAACAAATTAGCATTTATATTCAAATAGATATTTTACAAACGGTAGAGTCGTTAATTAAAGAAATCTTTCATAAAACAGAGAAATTATTTAAGTGTCACTGGATTGTCATAAGAAATTTGAGCCATTAGTGAAAACAGTTCAACTATGAGAATGAGTTGGTTCATTACTATGTACATCATTAATTTTAAACAATAAATCCAAATGCTTCTGAAAAAACATGTAACATTCTAGTTAAAGTTTTAGATTATATGACACTGCTACATGAGAAACAAAAACTATACACATTTATTCAATTGATGACAGTAAACTGCTTTTCACTTAAAACACAGATTTACTGAAACCATTTAAGTAAAAATAATCTACCGAAATTAATTTGTAACAAATTGAGATGAATTGCCCTATGTGATCACATTTTTATGCTCTGTGTTTCTTGAAAGTGAATTAATTTTATTGTACATGAGTCCATGTATATTTCATTGCCAACAGGGTCTTACATATATGCAAGATTACAACGAAATTTTATGATTCCAATTTTCTCAGGTACATGCATTTGGGCTGCAGATTTTAATTTCATCTGAAGGAAATTCATTATTAGCAGAGAATATTTAGGATTTGAAAGTACTCAAATTAATACTTCAGGATCATGATATAACATCATTTCCTCTTCAAATCATACAAATTTTAAGTTTAAATATTATTCACTTACAGGCAACTCAAATGTATGCTACAAAATGTGAATCGAATTACTTACGTCTATCGAGTATATTGAATAAGAAATATATCGAGATTCCAATATACTTCAAACCTCCACTCATCATTCAGGAAATTTGAGATGCACAAATGTTATATATATATATATATATATATATATATATATATATATATATATATATATATATATATAAATGCATTTGAAACCTTGCTACAATCCATCAATAAATATGCGCCTTCATAATCTACGCACATGGATTACCCAATTAATAACTAGAGTATCAGAAGTCAGTTAATAAAATCTGTCTATCAGTCACACTTCGGTGGGACTTAACTTGAACTATAAAAGTCAGTCAGTCAGCTACTGTAGAATGAATCAAGTATTAGACAATATTGTTATAGTATGTCTCACTCGACTAGATGTAAAGGAAAATTTAGAAAATGTTTTGAGCAGTGATAAATTTGCCGAATTTGTTCATCAAAAAAAAGTAATTAAAATTTGTCACCTTGCAATATTTGGTAGCTTGAATTAAAACAGTTTTTACAAGTTTAAAAAGTATCAAGCAACAGTGATGTATATCAATGATTGTTTTGTGGATTAATAATTGGTTTATTGTATATAACTGAAGAGAAGAAATTAATGTATCATAATCATTATTTAATTTGATAATATATATAGATAAATGTCAACAATCCAGATATTTCCTTTACCATGCTTTATAGAATCTTTCACAAATAAGACAATGGGATTAAAGCTCATTAAAACAAATGGATAATGTAGGTGGTGGAAATGAAACAGTTTGGCGTCTACTGACATCGAATAACTTGAAGGTGTATATGCTAATCATATTTGGGTATCAATGTTACAATATCCCTCTGGATCTCTTTTTAGTGGTTTGGATTTTTGGAACCAATCAACTTATTAATGAACTCATTGTTCAGGAAGAGCCTACAACGGTGTAGTAATTGAGTTGATTTTCGTCAAAGAGTACACTCTATAAAACGTTTTATTCATTATTCTATTATTCACTTTTTTTATCCAAATGAAGCCTGTTAGTCAGAAATGAAACGAATGAACAATTTCTCCTAAGTTGTTATTAACACAATAATTTTCAGAATACCATTGAACCATTCAGTGTAATGCATGACCAGTTACCATTGTAATAGATTATTTTTCCCCCTATTTCCCTACAGCTTTGTTGATCAATCAACCCTACTTTTGTGAAGTAACCACATATATGTAGTTAAACAATTCAAGTAATATAAATGTATAAACATATATTTATTGCTAGTTAGCTTGATAAATAAATTTATTTAATCCATGTTTTCGGATTATATACTACATAAGGGTCATATTACTACTCAAGATTTCAATAGTTGAAATCATGAGTCAATTGAAGCTAGACCACCATGGAAAACCTGGAAGCACTAGATGGCCGTTTCGTCCTACTGTGGGACTTCTCAGAAGCGAGCATCCAAAATCCCGCCTCGCGAGATTCGAACCCAGGAGCTGTCAATCTCGCGCGAACGCTTAACCTCTAGATCACTGATCAGGCCGGCATCCACCGGTATTAATGTCTAACTTCAACTAATCCACGAAATTGAGCAACACACCCACCATTGTCTTCAGTGAGTTATTATCTCACAACAAATCTGGTTGAACTCCACTGGTCACTGGTCAATAAATGTTACTTATTATCAACATGTTCAGTATTGTTTTGATATATTTTTTTTGAAAAGGTATAATTAAACACCAAATTGTTTGTCGTTGATTTCTGTCAATTTTTATGAAGCAATATACTATGAAAAACAACATCTGTTATTTCTTGAACACTGATATTGTGTAGTATAGTGTTTTTCATTGTTATTATTATAAATTCTTGTTGGACAGTATTTCTTTATCCGAAGCAATCATTATCATAATTTTCATGGCAATAAGTATAAAAACAAATCAAGTACAACTAATACTGTTCAACTACAAAATAATTCATCATTTTGTATTATCATTTCAGTCATTGTATGAATGAATAGCTAGTTATTAATGTATACAAAAAATATCGTTGGTTACATTTTTTGTTTATGAAAAAAAAACCAGTAAAATCAGGTTTTTATATTATCGAAACCAAGGGGGTTAATTTATTAAATGTATATTATATCTTATTGATCACAAAGTAATTTATGATACAAAGATCGGATAATTTCAGTAAAGACGCTAATGAGACTAGATTTTGTCAACCATTCTGAATATCACTTTTGTTTTAGCTTTAACTTATGGAAGCTATAGTTAGGATAGATTATTGACTGAACGATATGAACTATCTGGAAGTTTCCGAAGAGCTAAAACAACTTACATGCAACATTCTCTATTCAATATTTTGTCTCTATTTTTCATGCAAATAATTCCCACACTAATTCATCTTATAAAAATATTCATATTAAGAAAAGTATTCATCATTCCAACAAGTTTGTTAGATGTTAACCGTATCCGAGTACATTTTAATCTTTGAATAAAGAAAGAATAAGACTAGTAGTAGAACAATATGAATTCATTGATATCCTTACTATCTAGAAACGATTAATTATGTACAAAATAAAATTTGTACCTACTTTATATGAGAAAGAGGCTTAGATTAAAATTTAGTTAGATATGGAAACGTCAATTAATAAAAGACAATAATTGTAGACGTATAAAGGCGCTTGTTCAAAAGTTTGTACATTTACAGGTTGAATATATAAATGTTATAGAAGAAAAAGTTCAGAAGAGAATAGAAACAGAAGTTCTATAAATGAAATGAAAAATTAATATCATAGTTTAAGTGAAACTTGAAAATAAAATAGAATCGCTCAACTGAATACAGCTCGGATGAGAAATAGAAAATTATAATTAATGTCATGGAAAATATTACATAACAGATATTGGTATCTGTAGTCAGGATCCTTCCACTGTGACCGATTCAACAAAACATAGTAAACTGAATGTCTTTATGTTGATTATTAAATTAACGACAAGAAATCGCACTACAAACACTAGTTATTCTTTTCATTCATTCAATGTATGTGCTTTGTTACGTACATATAAATTGGTGGGCATATTAAGTGTGATATCTGGAACTTGAATTTTCGCTATATCGCGTACCACTTGACCACTGGAACATTTGAACCGTCCAAATTGCAAGTTAGTAGGCAAAAGACGAGAGGTACGAAATCTTATTTCTAATTATGTCAGGTATAGTACGAAAACACTCGGGTATTGATAGTTTTTAGTAAAAATGAAGTCGTTATTACAAAAGCAGTAGTTTCTAGCATTTGTTCAATCAAGAAGCTACAATTCGAGATTTTAGAGTGTTCTTCCGAACGACGATTGGATGGAATGTCTTCTGCTCTTTCAGAGTTTCCTTGAGTTCATCGGGAGCCTTCTCCACAGAATGAAGTAATATAATATGGGAATTCGTTTACTTTTGACTATTGCAATCAGTAATTCATTTAGTAAAAAGAAATCCACTTGGCTGATGAATATAGTCTTTTTAAGATGAGCTTTAATATAAAATCATTTTATCACTTTTGCAGTCAAGGCTTAAAGAGACAGGCTTTTCAGAAAACTAGATTTCCTTTATTTTAGTCTTCCCATACTTAGTTTTAAATGTTTAAGGGTAACCGGTATCGCAAAAACCACGTCCAACTACGGCTAATTCTTTCTCAATCCTATTATCTGAACACAAACTTTCTATCTGGTTGAAGTACTTTCTGATCAAAGATCGCCGTAGCGCTCTGGAAAAAAACTATTGGAATCTAATCGCATTCCGTCCTGCTTTATTTCGATAAATATATCCTTGGAATTGTGCCTTTGTATTATGCCCAGTATCAAAATCTGTAGTGCAAAACATGCCATTAGGCGACATAATTAGGTGTGTTGTATTGATAAGCTCCAACTTCCGAAAAGCGTGTTGATAATCATTACTGGCAACAAATGTATCGTGAACATAGTCGTTCTTTAACGAAAGATTTTAATAAACTCTTCTCAGAGTTACTACATACTTGTGACTGAGCCTCTTACAGGAAAATAACTAAATTCTACGTGCAATGTTATGTATTCACCAACTTTATTGATAAGGCCTTTTTGGGTTCAATTTTCGATTTAGCTATACGTTAAAGGTTTGTTTATACAGTAGATTATTTGCAAAAGCTGACAGTTTTCGAAAACTGCCTGAAATAGTAACGTATGTTTAGTCAATGTTTGAAGAAACGTAACTTTTCATGTCAATAATTATAATGCTTTACTGCTTCTATAAACTGTACTCAAGTATTCAAGTTTATTTTTAAGTACCACGTCAACTATGGTATCAAACTTTTATTTACATTTAAAACTTCTGTTTTTATACACTTGTCAGTTCTTTCTCTAGAATATTTATACTGCCATAAACTCTTACTATTCGAGCAATTATGTCAAAAGATGCAAAAGGATGAGTTTTAGTTACATTGATAACTAAATCCAACTGAATAACTTGGACTCACTAACAGATGAGTTATTGAATGGTTCTTTATTAATAATTGAATGAAAGGCAAATATATGGATAAATATATTTTTCATATTGATCAGTTAAGTGGAAATATTATAACGAAATAGAAACTGACAAATAAATGCAAATATAATAAAAATTTCATTGTATTCAAGCAATGATAATTAGTGTTTCAAATCAGCTGACGGGTTCTTTATAAAAATATTATCCCATAATAGATATACTAAAGTGACTTCTCATGTACTACAGTGGAGACCGTATAACTCTTATTATAAACGGTTTATAACGACATACCAATCATCATCTCTTAACATATATTCAATTAGGATGGTGGTTGGAGATAGTCAACAGAAAACTCTGGACCTAGGTTTCGTGCTACTTGGCACACGTCAGCAAGGTGTACTTGTAATCTTGTGGGAACTGATGACCCCTGACGGATTCAATCCCGTGTCACTCAGCTTCACAGTCAGATACGTTACCATTGAGCTATCCGGGCCGTGTGTGTGGTGAACAATGTTATGTATGTCAGCTCCTTCTTAGTGCAGATCGAATCTTATGTATTCAATTACAAATTAGTTTTCTTGAAATTCACCTCAGCTAACTGTTATTCTCTAAAACAAGTAGATTTACGTTCAAAATATAAATTTATTACAAATATAACGATAAATGTAGTACATAGTGAACTGTTTCAAAAAGCAATGAATTAGTGGTGTGAATGTATATGCAAGAAGTTAGGGTGTTTAATAATGAATACATTTCAATTAAAATGACCAAAATATATATAAATTTGAAGCAATTACATAAATCAGTGAAGATTATGGACTTAGTCATTCAGAGAATGTATTTACTGATTCCCATGCAAACAAACAGAACAACAATAACATGACGATGAATAGATAATTTTGTCATTCCATTACATTTATCTGTTGAGCAACAACCGACTGTATTCTCATGATCCAATTGATCACATGTAGGTCCACAAAATTTACTAGTAACTCCAGAACCATGAGTTGTCTGAAGATATAATCAAAGCCAAATATTCAGCCAAAATAAATCATTAATTTGCAGATACGTTTAATTTAAGTGGGCGAAACACCAAGCACGTCACTTAAAATATATAACTAATAGATGGTTTTTAACCGAAATGGATGGTAGCTAGTAGTGGAATCTAAAATATGCGTTTCTCTCTATTTAGGACTTGTCATATGGATATTCATCTCCGGACTCGAACCTAGTACAGTTCATTCCTAATGTCGCCAAGCTATGCACTTTGCTACTGAGTCCAGACGGCTATTGTCTTGTGTAGTGGGGTGAAATTTAATTCGTCAATACAAGTGAAGTAAATGATTTGTACTAATTTATTCGATGAGCATAAATCAGCGACAGATTTATATTAGGACACCGTAAAATGTTCTAAATCAGTGTAAAGTTTAGCAGTTGTAAAATTACTTTTATTTTGTTGATCTTAATTTGAGTTTGCCTAACATTAATGACTATATAGGTGATCTCATATAAGTCAATATAATGATTTACCAACTATCGGCTAGGTTAAATGTGATGAACATGGTCGACACACAATGTAATTTAACTCATGATCATTTCTGATTACAAAAATCTAATCTAGAATATTTCATAGGAAGTGAGGATTTGTGATGTTAAACACGAGTTATTGACTAGCTGTATTAAAGATGTCATTTATACTGCTTGAAATGCTTACTTTTCGTCAACCAGTAAAACACGCAATCTAGCATTACAATCTTCTTATTACATCATCATTTTTATCCTTTGTTCATATGTCCTCACGCAACTAATACTCTAACAAAAAAATTTTCATATATATATATATAATTGTACAGCTTGATAATAAATAAAAATTGACACTAGTTGTGCTTTGAATACAATTAACCAAGATTTGTAATGCTGCTTGATACTGATCAAATTATTGTGTCTTATTCAAAATACTAGGAAAATTCGTTTAGTTTATTATGTACCACATAAATGGAAATATACTAAATTTCACACAGGTTTCACTGTGAAATAATTATTACGTCACAAAATCTTTGATATATAATACATTGTCTCTTTTTTATAATGCCACTGATGAAGTAAATGTAACTACTACCTTAGTAACCCGTAGAACAGTTGATATAGTAGTAATTAGTATACGAAAATCAAAAACTTAAATTTTTGTCTTAGTTGTAATTTTAGTCATATACAAAATTACTATTCAGTTTGTTTGGTTAAATGCTTTTAAAGAAAAGAGAGATTATTTTGACAGTAGATACAGTCAAATTATATTTCAAAACTATTTCAATATTGTTCTCAATTCTGATTAAGTACATTTATAGAATTCCATTGAGACGAATTACTAGATACATTCTAATATTTAACTGTTGAATTTAAACTTAGTGAATGCAATTTCTTTTAATAACTTGAAGCGAAAATTATTCATCAAATTTTACTTTTACTCAAGTTATAATGAAATATATTACGATGGTTATTTGAACTTACCACACATCCACCACAACCGCTAATAACCTTTTGGTTACTTTTTGTACAGTTCAAACAAGTATAGCAATCGATTGGTTTTGCTGTGAATTGAATTAAAGAAATCAACATGATATAATGACAATATAATAAAAATGAGTTAAAACTGTCAATATACACATCATCGGATAACTTATATAAATATTGTCAGATATTTATATTCAACTTGAAATGACTGTATGAAATGCAAAGAAAATTATTATAATTTGTCCTGTAGAACGATTTTCATTTACCTCTTGTATGGAATGAAGTCATGAGATTAGACGTAAGGGTCTAGACTTGACATAATCAAAATACTATGTTAAAACAATACACATTTACTATACAAGATCTATGTTAATAAAGACAAGATTGAAATAACACTAGTTGATTATAAACAGAGTGAAAATTCACAATTTAGTTTACACATATATTTTAATGTTACTGTTAAATGATCTCAACGACGTTCATTCATGATGGTTTACAGGTATCACATCAAAATGTATCAAATATGAAATACTAATATTGCATCATTTATTTTTCAATGTATTCATTTTGCCACAAGTTAAGTGTTTTTAATCGATTGTAAAATCACATACAGTTTAATTTTGTAATAATCATGATAACTTAAAGAAAACAAATTACTTACCTATAGGCCCTGGTGGAGGTTCTAAAACCAATTTTAGAATAAAAAAAATGTTGAAACAATAACATTTTAGTGAAATGATAAACCAAAAAAAATGTACTTCACAACTTCTTGACTGAAGACAGAACTATGTGAGATTGATATTTAACGTCATTACTTTCAATACTTTCAATCTACCAACCGTAACCGAATATTTTAGATAATAAATATTTTATAAGTTCATATGTTTGTAGACCAATTAATACACAGACGTTAAGACTATCCCAGAGAAAGTTAAATACGAAGTCTATTTAGATCACAATAATTTTGATATGTGTCAAGACATCGAAATCAAATAATTTGTTTCTGCTTAAAAATCTATAACTTGATTAGGAATGCATTAAAAATAATCCTTTCCATGTACATGATGGTTGAACAAAATCCTATACTATATAATCTAAGTATAAATAAAATATATCAGATAATTTCAACATATCTGAAGCTGTGAATACAACAGATATTTAGTATGATATTACTTGAATAGAGGGTACAATGAAAAAGATGAATAATAACTGGAAAAGATTGCCCATGACAGGGTTGAATGGAGAATACTGGTGAGCGGCCTATGATACTTCACGAGGAGTAACAGGCGTAAGTAAGTAAGTAAGTAGATACAATACCCGAGTTTTAACTTTTTCCAAATCAATTTAATGAATCAGTAATTATGGTATTTTTCATATGACCTCCAAATATGCGATTAACCATATTATCAATTTCATTTTCAATCATACGGTAGTGGAAATATTTTTTACAAGATCCTGTTTTCGTATTTTTTTAAAAAACTTTTAAGATAAATGTGCAAAGATTCTTCAGATATTATTATGGACTAAGCTTTTGTAAGTTTTGTTTAATATCTATCATAAAAATCGATACACGAATATGTGAACATAATGTTCTGATATTCAAACAAATATTAAGCAACTTTCGAAGATTTGAGAAGATTTGTAATATAACTCTAATACATCAATGATTATTCTGTCTGCCAGTTAGCATTTCTTAGATATTCCGTCAACGTTATGAATACGACGTTTGAGCCTCTGAAAAGTTTAAATGCTATGCATACATCACCTATTAAATTACGATGGGAAGTTGAGTTTTTACGTTTTGAAAGGTAGATTGAGAAATTCCATGATAAGATTTAAACACACTTTATCATTGAAATATTTAATGTCGTTGGGATTATGAGTCGATTTAAGTTAGATCCCCATTGAGAAACTAGAAGCACTGAACGGTCATTTCATCTAGATCGGAACTATTCAACAGTGCGCATCTACGACCACGCATATGGGAATTAAAAGTAGCAACTTCGGACTCATGCTCGAACTCTTAACCCCTACATCACTGAGTCGTAATCCAATGGTTGGGAGTTCGCACGCGAAGCCAGAAGTGATTGTTTCGACTCCCATGTGGGGGCTTATGGATGCCCACTGTTGTGTCCCATACTAAAATGGATCGTCTATTCACGAGTTCTAGGATTTCACTGGTGGCCTAACTTAGAATAGTTGATGATTTCAATGAATTTCAGTTAATCTCTACAACCCGTTACTGACACTTAGCACTATATCTATTGACTTTTTTGATAATCTCTAAAATTTACATGTCACATACCGTCATATATTTGAAATGCTTAAAATATACATCTGACTGATCCTTAAACTTATGTGTAGTCACATCTGTCTATAATGCACTCAGCAACCAATTTTCATACTCGAAAATATTTTTGGTGTGTACGGTTGTGCTGTAATTCAAGAGAGAAGTGATAAACGGAAGCCATTTCAAGTGTTAATAAATGGGAGCTAAATATCTTTAGGCACAATACAGATCTTGTACTTATGGATAAGCTCATAAACGTCCTGTTTGTAATTTTACATTTTATTGTTTGTAACAACCAACACTTTCTGTTATAGTAAATGATGTATGAAACAGTCAACAATTGAGGAAGTATGTCGTTTTCAAATGAATTATACAGTAGTATTTATAACTTGTCTATTTTATTCCGGATTCTAATATCCTCATTTAGTCGATGAAATTGGAATAATCTCCAGCGATTCAATCTGTCAATTACGAATAAAATAAATAAACATTCTATAGCTGTGTTTGGATAATAAAAACCGTTAATAATCTAAATGGTGAAAATCAATAAACTTCCTCTTTATATTGCACTATTTAGATTAGCGTGAATTAATATACAGTTTAAAACTGTATCTGTTTAAGCTTTTCTATCTGTTTATATTTTGTATAATAAGTTAGTTTATATATTTTCTTGTCTTAAAATAGTTGGTGCATTTTTAATAATGAATATAACGAAATTATCCTTTTATCACTTACGTGCAGTGTTATCAACTGTTTTCCCATTACACAATTCAGTGGAACAAGTCTCTCGATTTTCGTTTGGGAAGTTAATGGGTATCGTATCATTAAACAAACATATTCTGTGAATTCCAAAATTACTACCACCCATCTGAAAATTAATAAGAAAAAGAACATAAATTAAGATGGATCAAAATAACTTACCGACAAAATTGAAGAAATAACGTACGATACAATTATTAAATAAATGTATTTCCCATATTTGTTAGGAACAGCAGATTATCTAATTATCGTTTTAACTGTAAGAAGGGTAATAACTACGATAACAATACATTATAGTAAGTCTACACAAAAAATAACTACAAATTGTCATTTCATTCGACATGTAAATAGTAGTCGATCAGAAATTCATGTAATTTATTAGACATAGAAATAGGTGTTTATTAAATGGCCTAACTTACCACGCAAGATGTACAATTGTTGTCTGTTGATATTGATTCACTCGTTACTATCGGACAATAGTCACATACGTAACAACGCACTGCTTGATATTGGTCTATGTTAAATGTAAACAACCATTGGAAATTCAATAATTTAGACTAAATTAATGAAATCTTCTTTTAAAAAAAAATTATAATGTATTTCATTCATTTTTAATAACTTTGTATTAAAACAATAAAAAGGTTACCATCAAACTTTTTAAGCAAGATATTTCATAAGTTGAAGCAATCATCTCTTAATACATTGTAATACTCTCCATGGGAATTTATATTTTATTGTTGACATCATTTTTCTTTATTTCCTTTTTGTGATCGGTAAGATTTCTGTCGTTTTGTTTTGTTTTTGATATGAAACAAAATCAAACTGTCTAATGATTAAGAATAAAACTTTCAGTGTTCTAGACTAAATGATTAAACATTTACAGATCACATCTACAAATGTTTCTTGTTCATCATTCGTTTTTCTTTGAATTAATTAATATTTATTAACCACAATATATTAAACTTCCATAGAACTCAATCAATCCAAGTTTGACAAGACTGTTCAATAGTAAATAAATGAAATTCTACTATGTGTTTGCCTGTTCATTAAAAAAAATATAAGGAGATAATATTCGTCATTTTGTAGACTATAGCTTATTTGATTATTACATACATATCCCCTTTGTCCGGTTAAAACTCTGATAATAATAATAATAATAAGGCAGAAGTATACATTCGACAGCATACTGATTTGTTCGAGTTTTGTACAAACTAATTTACAAATGAAAAAGCCGTCCATTTTCGCTCCTTCAGACACAAATCATGCGAAATGAATCGGTGTTCAGTGACTTTAAAGACCGATACAAATAATTAGAAATAAACAATTAGTTTATAAATGTCACATTTTATTCAAACCTGGTATTTAAGTGTTATATTTTACGAATATAATGACCACAGCTTTAGTTTATCATTGAAAAGTGTATACAAAAACCATGCTAGATTTTTTACGGGCAGTAACACAAACACTCCTGGCCGAATCAGAGCTTACCCCTAACCATCACTTGGATTGATAACTTTGATTGATTAGTATCGAAAGTGGCCACTATTCCCATTATCACTGAATTTATTTAGTGATCAGCACAATGTAATAACACTTTTGTCATCTAACATTTCACAGACTGAATTTTTATTACGAGAACGAATTATCTACTTAGAGTATTCAAATGACGAAAATCCATTTTGATGAAAACGTAAACAATATTCATTCTTCAGAATGCACTAAGTATTAATGTGAACTATTCGAAGCAAATCTCTCTACCTTTAAATGTGAAATGTTGCCTCGGGACTGGGCTACATTATCACCGAGATAGATCACATGAAATGAACTAGTTGAGGAGGTCGGCTACTTCATTTATCTCGGGAATCTCGTCAACCCTGATAGGTCGGAAGCTGACGATATTCATGGGTGGATTCAGAAAGCTATCTTAGCTTTTTCCAAAAGTTGTGGTGCAGGCAAGATGTCCCCCTTTCAACAAAAGTCTATGGTCATATGTGCGCCTCAAGTTTATATATATATATATATATATATATAAAGCTGGCAAATGTTTTAAATAGCTGTACAACTTCATCGCCTGAGGTGATAAGGAGATGTATCAGGGACTTCAAACTGTCACCTACTGCGACATGGAAAGCGGGCTAATGTAAGACCAGGTTAGTAGAAAATAAGAGACTGGCAAATCAAGTGATATCAATATTCGAATTCATTCGGCATTGATCTGAGTCATGTTGATGGGTGAAGTTCAAGTGTTTGAGGGTTGGCTTCTATCAACGATTTAAGATCATAAGTGACACGTCTCGAAATCAGCGGTGTTAGAGCAAATAGATCCGTTATTTATCTTTTTCTATATTTTGAGCATCAGGAATACTTCATATTATTTACTCCATATTTCCCGTTCGTCTTTCAAAACACTATTTCCTACTTATACTGAAAATGATATTTTTTTCAAACCAAATGTTCTTCACCACGTTCTTTCTAAATCACTGTGTTAGCATTTCATGGTAATGTGGAGCCATGTACATTTCTGCTCAATTATAAGTTGATAATGATTGACTGTTTATTGTTACTCTTTCTAGGTGATAGATACAAATTTCAAATGTCAAACAGTACATATATTTGGGTGATTTTTCCTTCCAAAGCGACATGAATTCTAGTCTTTACTTATCAAACAAACAACCTATTAAATATAGATAGGAAAAAGATATCTATTCTACCGGATCGAAATAAAATACTAACTGAAAAGAATTTGATTGCAACTTCTTCAATTGGAATCCAGATGATAGGAATGTAACACAAAGCTTAACATAGAACATTCCCATCCCAAAATCAAACTGAATTACTTACGTTTATTCAGAATATTCACCATAATGTACAAAAAGATCCCAAAATATTCCAAGCCACTTTTCATTCTTCAACCACTTCAGAATACTTGGAGATGTATGCGAATAAAATTCCGAGAAATAAGTTTAGCTATACAAGCATGGAAATAAATTTATCCGTGTGAAAAACGTCAATGGTCCTATGATAGACATTCGTGTCTGGACTACAATTACTGACCAATCAAAAGCCAGTAAATTGCTATTCAATCGGTGTGTCCGTTAATTAGAAACATGTCTGTCTCAACTTCATTGAACCGTTGATAAAAACGAGCCTTATAATGAATAAAATGTTAATTTTAAGCTGATTCGTTTGTCCTTTTTCTGGGTAATTCGAATGTAGTGAAATGACAACTTTTCTTACGTTCATAATTTATACCTTTTATGGAAATTCGTAAAACATGGATCACAAGACCTGGAAGACAAAGGATATCAGAAGTATGTGATGTATTTGCTCAACACAGTTTAAGAATGGGATGAATGAATCATAGAACGAACAAATAAACATTTACAATTTAGATGATTCCCGATTTATATCGCATTAGAATTGTTTACAGTAATTGCAGCTTTGAATAAAAGAGTTTAACACCATTTAAATAAATGAATATTTTACTTAGTCCAAGTAACAAACGGTGAGGTCCGCTGACGTCACTGAGATAAAAGTTCTGTTTCATTAGAGCATCAAAGTTGTTATGTCTCATCAACATTTACTATAGATAGCTCAATTCTTTAGAGGCAGTTAATAATCTAATGGAATGATTATTCAGACTGAATATTTCATAGTATCCTTAACAATTTGATTTTTATCAAGACTAAATTTTATTCCGTATTATTTTTAATCCTTTTACACATGTAGAATGGAAATGTATGGAAATCAACTGTTAATGGAGTACAGTGGATACAATCTTGAATAAAATGTCAACATATTTCTATGTTGACCAATTGTTCACTCTATAAAACGTTTTATTCATTATTCTATTATTCACTTTTTTTTATCCAAATGAAGCCTGTTAGTCAGAAATGAAATGAATGAACAATTTCTCCTAAGTTGTTGATAACACAATAATTTTCAGAATACCATTGAACCATTCAGTGTAATGCATGACCAGTTACCATTGTAATAGATTATTTTTCCCCCTATTTTTCTACAACTTAGTTGATCAATCGACACTACTTTTGTAAAGTAACCATACATCTGTAGTTAAACTATGCAAGTAATTTAAATGCCCTATCCAGAGAATCTTATATTTATCCTCTGTTAGTTCGATAGATCGATTTATCTGATTAATTTTCTTTTATATATATTCACTACTAAGAAGAAAGAATTCCACTCAAAGAGCCTTGCTTATTATTTTATTACTACGCAAATACACAACAAAACAAAACATCATCTTGTGTCATCATTTCTGTCACTATATCGATGAATTATTAACATTGTATATGGTAGAACGTCTTATGTAAAACCAATGAAATTAAAGATTCCTATAATTTCTTGTTCTGAGATATACATTTACTGAAAGGCCATATTAATTATTTTAAGTAATTATTTGTTTCACTGGTTAAAATCATGAGTCAATTGAAGCTAGACCACCATGAAAAACCTGGAAGCACTGGATGGCTGTTTCGTCCTAGTATAGGACTCCTCAGGACGGAACGGCCGTCCAGTGCTTCCAGGTTTTCCATGGTGGTCTAGCTTCAATTGACTCGTGATTTTAACCAGTGAAATTTCTAAAATCTCCACAAAACCCCTCCTGATAATTATCAGTTTATCACATGGTTTAACTGAGGCACCATCTTTTTTCACTTTGCTATGCAAATGTGATGTTTGTCTGTCTGAGATTAATAATCAGAACGCTTTGTATTAGGCTGATATATATGTATATGACTACTACTGCTACTACGATATAAAACACTCAAGCCTAATGGTTTGTTTGAGGTATTCTGTGTGTTTTTTGGTCCATTTTTGATTGATTGCTTAACTGCTATCAATTTGTTAGTGAATCTATTGATTTTGGGTTATATACGTATGAATATATAAATGTTGTTTCAATAAACTTCTTTAGATATGTATAATGAAGTTGATTCTAAGCACAGTCAAACTGTTATTAAGGATAAGCGAATGAAAAGTATAGTTAAAAAAACTTTCCTTAATTCCCTATTTATTTGATCTGAACGCATCTAATATTATCGAACATAAATGAATCAATTTGTTGCACATCGAGTGTGCATTTTCTGATTGAAAAGTTTTATCTCTCTGTTTTAACTATTTTCAGATAAGATATCTATCTAGATATTGAAAACTGAATGATGGTGAAAAGAAGTAAGACAGAGTTTTCATATATTTATTCTGAGTGATTTTTTACTCGTTGTTAGTAATAGAATTAATAATTTCAATTGTTTGACGTACACTGTTGGCTAGATTTCAACTACCATAAAATCGCATAACAGTACTCTATGCTTTATTATATTCAATCTCTTTCCAGTGTGAAAATTGACTTTATGTTAATGGGTTCGTAAAATATGATACAAAGATAAAACTGGCACAAATGCTAAAATAATGCTCCTATTATGTGAAACAGAAACTTCATTGAGATTTATTCTTAATAAAATGAATCGAATATCTTTCTACTTAATGTCTCTATATTAATTTGTAAGTTTTTACTTAGTTTCACCTATTCTCAGTAGTTGTTCTTTTTCTCTAATATAGAAGCCACTAATCTATTGCAAAGATTAGTTCAATCAATATGTTTCTCAGAAAAATGAAAATATTTCCGAAACAAAATTAATCTTTTTGTTTAATAGACATTAGGAAATGTATGGTTTCGTTATGTCAAATTTCAGATTTTGACTGGAAGCAACGTAATATTGATAAAATTATTCTTAGAGCATGTATGCTATCTGTTTTGTCCATGAATAATGATTGTAAACAGACCACACGATTGTGAGTAACTATCATTCACCGACATAATGAAGAAAATCTTATGTAACGACCAATAACTATTTAGCAAAAAAAAGTCGTTTGTTAGAACAATAAAACTGATTTGATTTTTTATAACACAAGTATTCATTCATACAACATGACGTGAGTGGAAAATTTGAATTTTTGGGTAATAACACAATATATTTACATTGACAAAGCGATAAATCAATAATACGAGTCTAGATGTCAGCCGACAAAGCCCGAAAGTAAAATATACAAGATAATCGACTACAAACGAAGCCATTAAAAAGAAATAATATAAATATTTTGGAATAAATAGAATTCTTTGTTCTGAATGAATTAGGCACTGACGTTATCAAAAATGATAGGAAGAGCTAAGTGCATAAACCATCTAAATAAGAGTACACAACATCCTCATAAGTGTCCACCTGATCTACAAATGTTTTCCACTATTTCAAGACCAAATAAGTATATGTACACTTTTTGATAATATTTGGAAAACTAATATGGATCAGAAGATGAACATTGATGAGTTAGCTATCCATCCTATCTTTAAATATACTCATACTAAAAAAGAACAAAAATTTTAGCTAGAATCTGGTTTTAGTTAATGTTGATATTTCACATTAAAATATCATTAGTGTCTGTGAACTTATCAACTCAGTATATGATTTTGGAAAATGTTGGGTAAATTTCACTTTGAATTTATATAAATATAACAAGATGAATCAAGCTACGACATTTAAGAACATTTAAGAAAGTATATCACTAGTAAAAAGTTTTGAAATATTACTCAGGATATGCTTAATACTCCCTAATCAACTGGCTTCACTGATAAACAGGGAAAATCAGATGCAGACGTTTAGGCAAGAATTGGAAAAGCAAGGACCCAAGACGAAGTTGGATGGAGAATGTTCGTGATTAGACTATGCTCCTACATGAGGGGTGACAGGCTTAAGTAAGTAAGTAATTAAATTGCTTGATGCTGGAGTAACTTTGCTAGAAATGAAAAAAATCGTTGATAACTGAATGAAGTATTTTGGAAATTGGGGATTTGCTTTGGATAATTCAGATAATAGAAATTATATGGTTAATAATGATAATAATATCTACCAGATGGGTTCATTCATTGATTAATTTAAAATAAAACAGTCTAGGCAAACTATTCAAAGTTGATTAGTATGCAAGTGAATTGAATGAGATCCATGATTATTGTTTATTCATTTGATCATGTCAGAGGAGAATCTTATGATTATATGAATATCTGATGTGTTGTTGTTTGATGAGAATCAAACAATTATGACGAAGTACTTCAATGAATAAGTGGGCAGTGAAAGTATTTTTCTATATACTATCACAATTGATCATTCGTATTTAAGATTGTGTGATACGTACTTGTGTAGATCATTTATGAATTGATAAAATGATAAGGAATGTAATTATTAAGTTTAATTCTCATCTGTAATATGTCATTCTCTACTATGAAGTGTTCACTGAAAATTGTTCAGAATAAATATGAATTTTGGAACTGTTTGATAGGTATTAAATTAAAATGAACTAGTACATATAAAAGACGATTGCTATCAACTTCAATGAAATATGTATATTCAAGATCACTCAGTTGAAATTGCTCAGTGAAGTGCTTAAATTACATTATACCATATCATTTCCTTTACGAAATATTGATGGTTATATGTTAAGGAATGTAAATTTAATGAAAAAACAAAATATATTCTTCAGAATGTGAATTGAATTATTACATCTTTTGAGTATATTTAATAAACATTACATCAAGGTCCCTAAATATTGAAAACCTCTACTCATTATTAAACAGCTAAATATGCTGTAGCAACACTCCAACTGTTAATGTCGATTATGCTTGATTTTCGTCAAGCTTTTTTATTAAGTTATTTAACAGACATCAACGATTCGTCTATTTCTTTGTATTACTGTGATCACCATCATGTTTGTGTAAACGTCCAGTCTTGACCACATGACAGCCTACGCACATATCTCTTAAGCTTAAATGTAGATAGCTTAAATATCTCTCGATGAATGATTCTCTCCCATATATAAATATGTGGTCGAATA